ATGTTTAGAATGTGCAATTTGTATATAATGAAGAGATTCATTAATAATAAGTTTGGTCTGCTTAGAGTACTTTTTATCAAGAGTAAACCAGCATCCAAGAAATTTAAAAGGTTCATTAGATGAGTGAAGCGAAAAGGTATAATTGTTGAAAGTAATAGTGAAGATACAAGATGTAGTAAGCAAAGAAAGCTACAAAAACCCAGAAGGGTAAATATATTTACAAAGTTAATTTATAATTATACAATTATATAAAATTTTTTATAAATATAATATTCTTTAGAGAACTAAAAGAACTAGACCTAGTGGTGGTGCAGGAACCCATACACCTTCTTCTAGAGGTAGTTTTGATCCTAATTTGGGTTTTACTGAAGACCCTAATCCAGGTTTTACTAAAGGCCCTAATCCGGCTTTACTGAAGACCCTAAGACCATACAAATTTAATAAATCAGTTCTCATAACTTGGCCGGATCAAATTTTACAAAACTTTAAAAAAAAAATTTAAGTCTATTTACTATCCAGGTAGATTATTCTAAAAAATTAATAAAAAATTTTATATGTTTTTTATATATAAAATTTTTTGAAAATAAAATTAAAAGCCGGGTAGCCGGGTAGCCGGGTCACTTTCAAAAATTTTATGTTATGAGAACCTATTTATTAAGTTTGTATAGCCTAATACGGAACTGGTATCATCAACAAGTTATTTAGCATCTGGTTCTAATAGAGGAAATGCACCTAATCCTGGTACACAGGAGGATCCTGCATCTAACCTTGGTACACAGAGTGAACTAGTTCTAAATCCTGATTCACAAGGAGAACATTCTTCTAATCCTGATAAATATGGGGAACCTGCACCTAATCTTGGTTCACCTGAGAGATCTTCAAATGATCAAACCCCAGTTTCTGGTTCCTCAGAAGAACCCTAAAAATCATGCTAAAAATAAAGAAATTAATTATCTAAGATAGATTTTATTTTTTATTTTTGTATTTTTTTAATTTTAATAAACTATTTTATAAAAATCTATAATTATTAATAATAAATTTTCGAATAATAATAAAATTTGATACTTAATTGAAATATTTTTAAAAAAATTTGCAATACTTTAAATAAATTTGAAAACTATGAATTCATTAATAAGAACAATCTATAATGCGTATTAACAGCTTTTTGTATAAATT